CGGCTACGCGTTAGCAGTAATCGAATTTGGGAAAAAAGACCTGTTAAAGTTTGAGCTTAAAAGAGGACCGAATGTGATGGAAGAGCTAATTAGCTCCCTTGAATCGTTAGCGAGACAAATTTACGTAGAAAAAAGGAAATATTACACTTTCACTGGTATAACAGACCAGGAACGGGAAGATGCTACAATTTGTTGGATATGCGAGAATGATTTTTCCGACAATGATCAAGTGGTACTTGATCATTGCCATTACACCAACAAGTTTCTGGGTTGGGCACACAATGAGTGTAACGTTAATAGAAAAACAACAAATTACATTCCAGTGGTAGCTCATAATTTATCAAATTATGATTTACACTTTATAATCAAAGCGCTGGCAAAAAGCGATTCGGAAAACACTTTTTCCGTAATACCCGCATCTGAAGAAAAATATATATCCTTGACAATCTCAGTCTACATAAAAACGTACACGGACAAAAACGGAAAAATCAAAAAACTCTACGAAAATCTGAGATTCATCGATTCGTATAGGTTCATGCTGGCATCGTTGGCAAAACTTGTCGATAATTTGCCCAACGAAAAGTTTTTTCTGCTGGAGAACTATTTTGAAAAACTCGGCCACTCACGTGAAAAAGTCAGTCTGTTGAAACAGAAAGGGCATTACCCCTACTCATACTTCAACTCATTCGAAAAATTCCGAGAAACTCGCCTTCCCCCACGAGCAATGTGGAAAAATAGTCTAACAGGAGGGGATGTGAGTGTTTCAAGAAGCGAGTACAATCATGCCCTTAAAGTTTTCACCGAACTGAAGTGTGGCTCACTTGGTGATTACCACGACTTGTACTTGACTACAGATGTGCTATTGCTTGCTTCCGTTTTCGAAGCTTTTCGTGAAGTTTGCTATCAAACATACGGGCTGGATTGCGCCTGTTACTTCACGGCAAGTAACCTTTCCGGGGACGCCTTTCTAAAAGTTTGTAAGCCCGAACTGAAACTCTTAACGGACCGTGAACATCTAGACCTTGTGCAGCGAATGATACGAGGAGGCATGTCGTCGATTTACGCGCGCCGATTTTACAAAGCAAACAATAAATACCTCGACGATTTTTCGCCCTCAGAACCATCAAGCTACATCCTCAATATTGATGCAAACAATTTGTACGGGGGGATAATGAAACACTGCCCTTTGCCCTTAAACGATTTTTCAATAGTTGAAAAAAGTCTGGCAGACATACTGCTCACCAGCGAAACATCAGAATGGGGTTATATAGTTGAAGTCAATTTAACCATACCCGAAGAGCTTCACGACTTCTTTGCTGATTACCCCCTTGCCCCCTCTCGTGAAGTAGTGGACATCGGTGCAATGAGCAACGAGCAAGTCGACATGTTGGGAAAATTGGGAATCACCACACTGCCAAAAGTGCCAAAGCTTCTACAGACCTTGCATCCTAAAGAAGGTTATGTTTTGCACTACCTTACCCTAAAATTGTACCATGAGCTAGGAATGAAAATAACTCACCTCGGAAAAGTTCTTCAGTTCCGCCAAAGTCACTGGATGGCACCCTTTGTCGACCTCAACACCCGCCTACGAAAAGCCGCGGTAAATAAATTCCAGGAGAACTTCTACAAGCTAATTGTTAATTCAGCTTTCGGTAAGACAATGGAGTCTAAGTTAGGAAGAAAGAAGCTGGAGATTGTAAGGAATGAGAGAGAACTTTTACAAAAAACAGCTCTGAGCACAATGAAAAGCTTTCAAATCATTGACGATCAATTAGCCACAATTAGCTTTTCAGTAACAAAAATATTGTGGGATAAACCTATGATAGTTGGTGCGACCATCCTAGACCTCGCCAAGCGTTTCATGTTTCAGTTTCACTATCAAAAAATGAAACCAAATCTAAACTTGGAACTCCTTTACTCCGACACGGATAGTTTTATTTACGCCATAAAAACTGATGACGTTTACCGAGACTTGGAGAAAATAAAAGCTGATTTCGACTTTTCAAATTACGATAAGGACCATTTCTTGTTCGAGGATACCAACAAGAAAGTTGTGCTGAAGTTCAAAGACGAGACTGGTGGGAAGCCGATCAGAGAATTCATCGCCCTAAAACCGAAACTATATTCGGTCGTCCTTAATGGTAAATAAAATTTAAGCCACCCTTCCACCCCCCATTCCTACCTTTTACAGAACAAAAAATACCACCACCAACCTACCTACACCCCTTAATTTGTTGCATTAAACTATGGGCATTTAGCTGATTTAGGCAACATTATACAATGTTGCCTAAACGTTGATTTATCTGACAACATATTCCCTCTTGTTTCCTCTTTTTTAATCATAATTTAGAGTCTTCTGCTCTTTTTTGGTAAAATGAATCAAATTTTGTTCGGTATAAATTGAGTTGCTGAAGTGAAATGAAGCTATCCCCAACGTTGTAGAAAAGAATAATAATTTTGCTATTGTTTAGAAGGCACTCAAAAATTGAGTGCCAAAGGAATTAAACGGAGTGCACAGAGAGAACTGGTCCACCAAACCTTCAGGGACACATTATTCACTGGAAAAACAATGAGAGTATACAACTATAATATAGTTTCGAAAGGTCACACCAATATGACAGTGAAACAAAACAAACTTGCCTTATCACCATTCGACTCAAAACGTTTTCTACTTTTCGACGGAATTTCGACAGTGCCCTTTGGCCATAAAGCCGCTGAAGAAAATGCTTTTCTAGAAGACATTTACATGGACACCGAGTGGGCCAACTCATACAATGAAACTGATAACAGTTCTCCCGATTTTACACTCCCGGATTGGGGATTTTTACAGCGGCCCTACTCAGAAGCAGAGCTGCAAGAAGAAGAAGAAGCTTCTAGTAGCCGAGTCCGTGAACGTCCCCCTATAAAAAACCCATTTATTTTATCTGAAGCTTCAGAAGAACGACCATCTAAAAAACACCGCAAAGAAAACCAAAACAATAAACATTAAAGTCTGAAACATATATTTTCAGATGATTTTTACTCTTCGTCCTTTTTATACTTCGACTTGTATATGTTTTGGTTTTTACCAATTTACAACTAATAAAATACTCGTATTGAGCTCAATCACTGTTTTAACATAAATAGCTTCAGGCAAATAAACTAGTAGACACAAACCAAGTGTTAATTCAAACAAATGTGTGAAATCCTTAGGCTTGTTTTGAATAATAAACTTTAATAGCATGACAAATCTTTGACGAAAAGAAAGAAAGCCAGGAAATGATATCCACATGAAACTAGGACGAAAAAAGAAAAGTTCAGGAATTAGGACGATTAATTTTAATTATCGCGGGAAAAGGGACCGCTTTCAAAGGAATTAGAAGGAATTATTGTATCGCGTCCCGGTTGTTGAGCTCAGCTTAACAAGATCCTAAGGAGGGGGTCTTTTACTTTAGGGGTGGGAACTTGCGATCATTTACAAAATCCTAGGATAGGGGTCCTCCAAAAAATTAAGGACCCCTTTCCTAGGATTTTGCTTTACGTGAGGACCCCCCCCCCCCCTTAGGAAGGACCCCCCCCTTAGGATCCGGGACACGATACAATACTACTGCAATCATTTACAAAGTGATAAAATTTGTAAATGATTGCTAGTTGTCCGCTTTATAACATGACTTGAGATTCATGTTGTTTCTGATTTATTCCTACTCTACCACTGCTTTTTACTTTTTTATATGCAATCATATTACGATATCCATCATTTTTGAGCGCATTACCGTGAGTTTTTTTTTGATGCATGTCTCAGTTGAAGCAACTGCTATTGCTTTGTTTTTTATTTTTGAGAGACAAAACTCTAATTTAGTAAAATTCCAGATTAGTATATTTCATTTTTATTTTTTTATAGAAGTACGGACCGAGATATTTGCTGATTGATTTGAAATTTTAGAACAGATTTGCTTATATTTCAACTGCGATTTTCGCTCACTTTTGATTTTTCTTTGTTTTGTTTTTTTTTCTCCTTACTTAGTGGACCAAAAATTAATAAATTTTTTTTGTGGTCGTTTTCTGAGTCAAGAATACATAATCACTTGCTTTACTTAATCTTTGCATTTTATGTTGTCATAATTTTTTCTTTTAATGTACAACTTGTACCGCGGAAGTCACAGTGTCTTTTACCCTGCTTCTGAGATATTATTATTATATTTATTTACTCATTTTTGAATATGAACAAATTTAAAAGAAAACATACAGAAGGTTGCTTGAAACAAACTTTTTAACAAATACCTTTTCCAGCTTTTTTTTGAAAAAATCTCATGTTTCGAATGCCAAAAAAAATGGCCTGAAAGTTCTCTGATATATTAGAACAATTTACGATATGCACTTTTCCTCAAATTTGACCCAAATTGAGACAACTGGATCAAAAGTTATTTTCTTCATTTCGTCTGGAAATCTGAAAAATAAATCCATCTTTCGAAACTGAAAGTCAATCACCTTTTACGTGACTTTTTTCTTTTGATATTCGATAGTAGAGTTTGATCTCCTTTTAAGAACGGAAATGAAGTGAACCTAAGATGAGACCAAAAATCAAACTGCGAAAATATAAGTTTGTGCTAAAAAGAATCACCGGGACCTATATAAGAGTCTGAAATACTTTCATCGACTCTTAAAAATTACTATTCACATTTATGGAAAATGAGCACATTATTGTCCGAAGTTGCTATGTTTACAGAATTGAGACGGATGCTTAGGCATATCAAATATTTTTCAACACGATAAACGTAAGCTTTGAAAAAGGTTGACAATGTCTCCCGCTTGTGAAAAACAATCCAGGCACTATGCTGTATTTAGGTGTGAATTTTTGGGTATCGACGTAAGTAAGCATAGGGTTCAAACATTCCTTGTATTGTGTAAAAAAACTCTTTTCAAGGATTTCAATATAGAACAGTTCCTGAAATATACGTCGGTGTTGTCAAACTATTATTAAATGATTATATAATGATTAAGTTTTATGAAAAAGTTCTAACCAGTGCAGACAGTAATTTGGGCAGATTCTTGAGACATAACTCCTCCGCATCCATTTATCAGTCCGTAAAAACTCAATCCGTATTCAGTGCCGGGGTCTAAAGAAGACAAATTGAAAGACTCGTTAGTGCTCAAGCTTACAGCATTCGGAATACCTAATGCAGAGCTGCTGTTATCGAAAACATAGCGATCGATGCGACCACTTGCTGTCTTGATGCTAGTTACTGCTGCATCAATTTGAATTGAAGCATCACTGGTCGAAACAGGAACATCAGTGAAATCTGGATTTTGAGGTTCTAAAAAAATGACACATTTGCAACACTGTTTGAATTGTTTGCCGAGCTGATCAATATTTGAGCATACAGGTTCTCCCTTCCTATAAAGAGAATTCTTATAAGGAGAAAAATAGTAATTTACAATTTTTTCCTGCAAATATTTGTAGTTGGTAAAAATTGTTGCGCTGTTAAAAAGTGCAGTTCTGAAAATCTTATACCAGTTTTCTACTTCTCTATCTTAAATGAAAACAAAGCAAAGAAAAATATCAAGTTTTCAGATTGAAGGAAAGTAAGGCTTTTCCGCATTAAAAAACGCATGAAAAAACCTAGTATTCCATAGAATACTTTCCGCCTCACGTAAAGGTGAGCAAGTTTCTCTTCTGAATTTAAAAAAGTGCATGATAATTAAGCTTTGAAAATTTCCAGCAAAAAGCTTCAATTGTTTTTGCAAGCATGTAACATGGTATTCTGACTCAGTATTTTTAAAAATTAGTTTCATTTGAATTTGTTTAACTGCTGCCTATCATTTGACCTTGATATGTTCATTCTCCTCAGCAGACAGAATGCTCTCTCATATTTTAATGTTTCAACTTTGAGATTAAATCATTCTATTCATTTTATTATTTTAGTTGAAGAGTTAGCCGTTACAAAGGAAAGTTTTATCATGGCGGAGGGAAGAGTGGGAAGAATGGAGCGATCTTTTTCACCTTGCTGTGATGGCTAAAAAAATATAAATCGAGAATCTACTTAATCCGATAGAGAAAGACTACCGACAACCAACTGTATTCGAGATTTGACGAATAGCGAAACAGAAATTCAAAAAACCGCGTGACTTGGAAAACAAACATCAAAATCACAAGAGATTCGACACAGATGAAACGGCATCGATTAAGACAGAGACCAAACTTTTCAACTGAATGAGGGTTAAAAAAAGCAGACAAGAAACAATGCTCGTTATTATATCTTGCCCTCGAAAGCGAAGAAAAACAAATTTTTGCTTAAAAACTCAAAAGAGTAAAAGTCAAAAAGAGATTTTTTAAGGAGGTAAGAATTTAGGAGGTAAAAATTAATTTGCTAGCAACTTTTTTCCTTGTAAACTAAAAAACTGTAATTTAAGACAAAGCAAAATCAGTCCTAAGCAAGGAAAGAGTACCCAATTGGAATGCGACGACCGGATTGAGGATGGGTACAAGGACAATACGAATCAGAAAAAGAACCAATAGTCATAAAAAAAGGGTTTCTAATCGGAATTACCGTCTCTCTCAAAACCCTCTTTGTCAAAAATTCCCCTTCAAGTTCACTTCAAATGAAAACTGAATCGACAAAAAAAAGAAAGCATTTATGAAAACAATTTTTTCAAGAAACTTCACTAGAAAATTCTAAAGGCTGGTAAGGCCACGGTCATATTATCCGAAGGAAAACTCATAAAAAGTTAGATATCGTTTCGCCTGAACCCAATTTAGCCTATGCTCGATCTTTCAAAGGTTATATTTCATTTCAAATTTATACAACGAAAAACTGCTACGTAGATTGAGCCGAAGTGTTGGTCCACCAACATTTTGCGGCTGAATAATTTGAATCCTTCGCATCCAATGGACATAAACTCAGACAAAAGCCTCTCCATTTCTTCTTAAGACATCTTATTTTTATTCTCAACAAACTCTTCACTGAGAATTGCCATGAACGATTTCGTCGACAACTTTGTTATCGATAGCGAAATATTCAATGCAGAGTTAAAAACTTAGTTCAACAGGATAAGAAAACTGAAAACTCGAATTCCAAAAAAATATCTTTTTTTTCATGCAAAATGAGTATTTAGATTTCTTGCATTAACCTTCATAATGCTTTTGAGGTCTTAACTTCTAATCATTTAGCTTAGTTCATTTTAATTTGACGTTTTTCAACCTAGTCTTTCAAATTAATCATAATTCCACCATCTAATTGTAAAGAAATAGAATTAGCTGTAACCAAAGAAATTTTTATCATATGGCTAGAAGTTCATAGTTTTGTTTCTTCAAAAAATCCGCAGCAATTCGCTTGTCCGGTGAAAACAAAACATTGCCAACAGAAAGTTGGAGAAGAGTCAGTGAACGCAAGAAAACGAACAAAATACTGTATTAATTCTCTAACAAATCTCAATCTTCGAAGTTCGACGAAAACAATAATTGGCTCCATAGCTTTTTGAACTTCAAGAAAATTAATTGGAATGCCGACGACCGGATTGAGGATGGGTGCAAGGACAAAACTATTCAGAAAAAGAACCAATACTCATTTGAAAAGGGTTTCGAATCGGATTACTGTCTCTCTCAAAACCGTCTTTGTCAAAAATTCCCCTTCAAATTCACTTCAAATGATAACTGAATCGAAAAAAAGAAAGCATTTATGAAAACAATTTTTTCAAGAAACTTCACTAGAAAATTCTAAAGGCTGGTAAGGCCGCGGTCAAATTATCCGATGGAAAACTCATTAAAAATTAGATATTGTTTCGCCTAAACCCAATTTAGCCTATGCTCGATCTTTCAAAGGTTATATTTCATTTCAAGTTTATACTAATAATAATTTTGAAGTAAGTAGAAAGCTGACAAACCAAAACAAACCAATCCCGAATAGGAAAACCAAAAAATTAGGCACAAAATTAATAAAAGACATCGAGCTGGCTACTTTGGATATGAACCAACCTTAGGACTAGGACTTCACATTCTTCATGCAATCCGCCAAGAAGACAACCTACACGCACGAGAAAAAAAAAACAATCTCCAAAACAGGTTATGTAGCTTGCGATGAATCTATGTTTTTTCCTTCGGATACGTCTAATATTAGTGACTGGCAATCAGTGGCCGGATGTTCTCCATGTAGAGACATGGCTAGAGAACGCTATATGATGGAATATTATAGCCATATAAAACCCGAAACAACCATTACACATTCTCGTATTTCCCTTAGTAGCGCAAAATTTGAGATTTTACACGGACAGAAAATCAACATGGTGAAAACCACAAAAGAACTTATCATCAAATTAACCGCATCGACAATGTTATATCAATGCGTACAACCAATGAACTCGGACCACGAATCCAAACCTCTTACTACTGCTTCTGATGTACCCCAGCTGACCCGACTTGATGATACCCATGTTAACTTCCCAGTATACGAGGAGATATCAGATTGCTCAGACGGACCACAGCAGGACATGAGACAACAGCCCTTAACGGTAACGAAATACTGCTACGTAGATTGAGCCGAAGTGTTGGTCCACAAACATTTTGCGGCTGATTAATTTGAATCCTTCGCATCCAATGGACATGAACTTAGACAAAATCCTCTCCATTTCTCATAAGACATCTTATCTTTATTCTCAACAAACTATTCACTGAGAAATGCCATAAACGATTTCGTCGACAAACTTAGTATCGACAGCGAAATATTCAATGCAGAGTTAAAAAATTAATTCAACAGGATAAAAAAACTGAAAACTCGAATTCCAAAAAGTCTATTTTTTCATGCAAAAGGAGTACTTAGATTTAATTGCATCAACCTTCATAAGGCTTTTGGGGTCTATATTTCTAATTATTTAGCCCAGATAATTTTTTTTATTTTGACGTTTTTTGATCTAGTCTTTCAACCTAATACTAATTCCACCATCTAATTGTAAAAAAAATAGAAATAGCTTTAACAAAAGAGTTTTTATCAGATGGCTAGAAGTTCATAGTTTTGTTTCAAAAGATCCGCAGCAGTTCGCTTGTCCGGTAAAAACAAAACATAACCAACAGAAAGTTGGAGAGCAGTCAGTGAACGCAAGAAAACAAACTAAATACTGCATTACTTCTTTAAAAAATCTCAATCTTCGAAATTTGACGAAAACAATAAATGGCCCTATAGCCTTCTGAACTTCAAAAAAATTAATGAACTACAGTTTTTTGCTAAAAAATATTTAAATTTAAAAAAATTGGACCGTAAAAAATTAACGAATTTTAAGACTATTCTCAAAAACAAAACAAAAACAATCATTACGAGCTATTTAAGAGTTTCAACTGCGTTCATCGACTCGCAAAATTTTTTAAAGAAAAACAACCAAAATTTTTGCCATGATTTTTAAAAAATTATATTTTTTATCATCCAAAATGATCTTTACTGCTCAAAAGTTTCAACTGACATTTGATTTGTACAAAAACTATATTTTTTGAGCACTTGTGCAAATAACGAATATCTTAAAACTACAGTCCAAAAAATTTTTAGAGGCAAAATTTCAAAATAGTGGATACAGACAAAAAAAGTGAAATCAAAAGCCTTCCGCAGTAGTTCGTTTGTCTGGTAAAAACAAAACATAACCAACAGAAAGTTGGAGAAGAGTCAGTGAACGCCAGAAAACAAACAAAATACTGCATTACTTCTTTAAAAAATCTCAATCTTCGAAATTCGACGAAAACAATAAATGGCCCTATAGCCTTCTGAACTTCAAGAAAATTAATGAGTTACAGTTTTTTGCTAAAAATATTTAAATTAAAAAAAAATGGACCGTAAAAAGTTAACGAATTTTAAGACTATTCTCAAAAACAAAACAAAAACAATCATCACGAGCTATTTAAGAGTTTCAACTGCGTTCATCGACTCGTAAAAATTTTTTTAAAGAAAAACAAGCAAAATTGTTGTCAAGTTTTTTAAAAAAATTATATTTTTTATCATCCAAAATGATCTTTACAGCTCAAAAGTTTCAACTGACAACTTGTTTGTACAAAAAATATATTTTTCGAGCACTTGTGCACATAACGAATAGTTTAAAACTACAGTCCGAAAAATTTTTTAGAGGCAACATTTCAAAATAGTGGATACTGAAAAAAAAAGAAATCAAAAGCCTTGAAATTATGAAACTGAAGCAAATTATAAATCAACTCAAGTTTTTTTATTTTATTCAATTTTGGTATCATTAGCTTTTCCATAAAATTATCCCACGGTAAAAACAACGGGCTCAATCGAAAAATTTGAAAAACACGTCGATCCAGAAAAATAAAAAAAAAGCTTTGTTCATAATGCTTTGTTCGACCATGACAAAACAAAATCAAGGAAAAACTTTAGGCACAAAAATTATCTAAAACAAAACGTCCAAAACTGTAGAAAAAATTGCAATCAAAATTCAAATACTAAAGAATAGAACAAGCTTATCAAAATTGAAGAATCAATTAATAATATTTTCGACGTTTTTTCATTCAAAATGTATAAGAATGTTATGCAATTTTTCCACACATTTTTTCTGTTTTGAATTGATTCTGCCTGTTCCTTTCTTGCCTGCCATTTTTTTTTGTTTTTGCTTATTTTGATTTTTAAAAATGGCAAATGAAGAAAACTGATGAACGTTTTTTAATAATAGTACAAACAATAATTTATAAAAGAAATTTAATTTTATCATCCCGACACGACACGCTGAGAAAAATAAAGATTTATTCCGCGTCTAATATCTTGTTGATCAACCAAAATAGCTTGCCTTTAGCTCAGAATATTGCTGAGCTTGGAGTATTCGCAACTTACGTGTTAATATAACGATATATAGACCTTGTTAGCTCGGTAACTCAAAAAGTTGCAAAAACCGTGCCATACTAAAAAATGTTACACAAAATATCTTTTTATTTCTTGATCTTTTTTATCAATAGTTTTCGCATTAAAAAACCCATTCAGAAACAGATAATTAAACATTGAACGTTTTTTGACAAAAATGCGCAACGAGTGCAAGCCTGTCTTTTTTTTCTTCGAAAGTTGGAACAATAAAAAGAAAGGTCCCAAACATTTGCGATTGGTTAAAAAATTAAAAACATTCAAGCAAACACGGCAAAGTGTCAACTTTATATACAATGCAAAAATTTAACTCATTAAAAAAATCTGCTAGGACCCAGAATTTTAGTGTTTTTTGAAAATCGCTTTATTTTTTTTTGAATTTTTATCAAACATAATGCAAAACGCTAAGCATAGAGCAAACTATGCTTTATAAGATACATTTTTGGCAATAGTTTACTAGATCATATAAAACTAAAAGTTTGTAGTAGCCCGAAAAGACCAAGTTTAAAAGAAAAAAAATTTGAAAGGAACTATGAATTTTTGATGGGTTTATAGTTTATAACAAACGTATTCGACAACGTCCAAATTTTTTCAAACAATTTTGATCTTGTCTCGGTAGAACTCCAACTAAATTTTCTAAATTGCTTTTTAACAGACAAACCAGCAATAAAAACTATTGCGTCACTACATAAACGTCACTTCTTTAGTTAAGTTCACACTCAATTCTTCAAAAAACTTCTCCCTTGCATTTTGTCAGAGCAAAAAAAAAGAAACCACGAAACTTCAAGACAACTATTTTGAATAAGTTTTAAGGTCTGAATTATTTCTAAATCTAAAAAAGTTGTAGCAGTACATTTGTCAAGAACTATAGAGAGTTGCAAAAAGTTGAAACTAGCAAAAATAAATTAAAAGATCAGATAACACAATTCAAAAAAACACTTGCATGCAAAGCTAGTGTTACAAAACAAAAACTTTAATAGGTCCCTTATAGGTGTTCTTAATATTTGATAAATTTGTCACGAACTAACTATGGAGAGTTGCAAAAAAATTGAAACTAGCAAAATTAAATTAAAAGAGCAGATGACCCAGTGATAAAAAAACTTGCATGCAAAGCTAGTTTTATAGAAAAAAAGCTTTAATAGGTCCCTTATAGGTGTTCTTAAAATTTGAAGATTGCTCTTTTTAATTAATTCTGTTTGTTGCATATAGTAAAAACGTGTTTTTTTTTTAAAAAATGCGTACTTGATTGTTGTGGAATGAGAGGATCTCAGGGAACGCTTCGAAAAAACTTTGATAGTAACCGTATTTTAAATAAGTTTGCCAGCAATTTTCTTTATGGAATTTTAAAACATTTTAAAAACTTAAAAAAGACATTAAAAAAACAAAAGTCCAGGGTACGGGAATTACGTCTGGAGTTTATTCTAACTTCGAATTGAGAATAGCGCAGATTTGCATATTCAGCTAATTTTTGATCAGAGACTAGACGAGAACAAACAAAATTTAATGAAAATCTCTGCTTTAAAATTTTTCAAAAAGATTTACTGGTCAGATAAGTTTTACTGATTAGAATGTAAGTATTCTGCGCCAGAAATGAAAAAAGCGCCATTTTTTTTAGCGTGAGAAGCCTTTTAAAAGTCTGCTGTGGCTGTGTTTGCTTATTCGCTCGAAATTAGACAAAATCGAAAAAAAGTAAACCGGTTTTGAAGTCGTTCAAATCAAGACACAATGTGATAAATATTTTTGGTACCTGACTTTGCAGGAAAAACGAAAAAAAAGAGAAACAAAAACACGCCAAATACAAAGTTCCCCCAAATTTTGAGTGCTGTCAAGCTAAAGCATCAAAATGTTCAGTTTACAACATATTATAGATGGGGTTAGAAATTTCGCAAACTTTTAAACAAAAAGTCTCTTGAAAAACTTAAAATGGTTGTTTTGGAATATTCGGGTCTTGAATTACGCCATTTCTGAACTTTGATTTTGGCGATTATGAAAATTTTGGTTGAGACAAGATAAATGGTTGGCGATTATGAAAATTTTGGTTGAGACAAGATAAATGGTTGGCATGATGATATAAACGTGGCAAAAAACTCATGTTGTTTTAAAGCAAAAGAAGATTGAATTAGGTGAAAAAAATGCAATAAAAAGAAGTAATAAAAACAATTTAAACAACTTGATGGTTGTACTGAATTTAAATTGATAGTTAATTCCCATCAAATTTACTGTGTAATTTGCTCGGAAAAACAGAACATTTCTGACAAACTTTTGCGAAATTTTCTACAACAATGACAATTATTGTGAATAGTTTTTCTAGTGAATCCAAATTGCTTTATTTTTTCAAAAAGCTACATTTTTTCAGGTGCTATGGCCGACCTTTTTTAAACGAAACACACCATGCGCCATAGCTTTTTGGGCCACTTTGTAACGAGCTCGAAAAAAAATTCAAGCTATTTAATATTTCAAAAAAATTCTGCCCTTCGCTTAGATAAATTATTTCTCACCTGTGCAAACCACGTCGTGAACTGAACGGCTGAACATTATTTCTTTGAAGTAAAAGCTAATCACTGCCCAAGTAAAGTTACATGATTCACCTGGCTGTAGGACGCCAGAAATTTCTAAAGAATAGCGCCCTTGGTCGTTCAATTTTGGCAGAGATCCTGTTAAATTGGTACAATTTTCTCCAGTTTCAATAACTTCGCATTGTAAGGGAGACCCTGAGTTGAAAATAGTTTCATTTTCAGAATCCGCAAGCCGAAGCATTTGATAGGTTGCATTTCTGAACTCAGTCAACAATTGAAAATTTATGTTGTCAACTAAAACAAAAAACATTTTGCATTAGGTAGTTATAAAAAGATAGACATTAGACCGTTAGAAAAGAGTCAATGAACACGAGGAAAAAGAAAAAATATATATTAAAAAATAACGCCTTGTTTTTTTAAATAAGCTTCTGAATTTCGACGAACAGATATGTGCTTAAAGCTCTTTGAATCTCAACACCAATTTATAATTGACTCTTTTTCAATAGAAATTAACCTAATTTGAGAAAAATGGATCAGTAAGCAATTTTTTTTATTCCGCTGGGAAATCTGACAATTTAAATCCACTTTCGAGACTAGAAGCCGTTAAAAATATTAGTTACTTTTACACTTTTGCTTTTCATAATAAGGTTTGCGTTCTTTTGGCTCTTTTGCCTTCCCTTAACCTCACAAACATCATTTTTATGGAGTAAGAAAGAGTTTTAAAGGGTCAAGTATTTTGAAGTCATACCCTAATGAGTGTGATAGCCCAGTGAGTCCTCAAGCTAATTTTTGTGACAATTGCACTTTGTGAACAGAAAAAATACTAGTGACATTTTGTATATGTGAAGGGAACGGAAAAAGAGCTCTTTCTCCTAACAGAAAAATTGAACTGAACTTAAAAGTATATCAAAGTCAAATCGCCAGAAATCAATTTTGTTGGTTTCCAACTTTCTTAAAATCGATATTCTTGTAAAATTAAGAGTTTTCCTGAGCCATTTCCAGAAGTATATTAGAAATCGTGAATCTCCAGTCTGCTAATTTTGTGATTGGTCACAATGAACTTATTGGCTGCAAAATGTTTAGTTACTTTGAGATTTACCCAGTTTTTTTTGAGTGGCTTAAACTAATTTCCAACTCTCGGTCTCTCCAGCTATCTTTCCAGTTTTCGCCCTTTTCAGTTATCAACAAAAATCAATGTCGAATTACTGGAGCAGATTTATAATGATATTTTTTGAATTAATTTTTCTGTTTCACATATTTTGGATTTTTTTATTTCAGTTGGATATGTCGACGATTAGTAGTTGAGTTAAATTTCGAGCTGGGCTAGAATTATGAAACATATAAATGGTTTGAAAAAATCAGCTCTGTTCTGAAATTTTGTTTTTACTGTTAACAACGATCGTCATTACTTCAATTCAATTGGTACAAGCACCTCTCGATGGATCTACAATATTTCACTGTTTGATGCTCATAACCCCATTTGTCTAGATCATCGTTAGATTTTAATTCGTATGTATTATTTTCTACTGTCTGCAATAAATCTACCTTTAGGATGAGTACGAGCAAATATCAAGTCCAATTTTCTATACCATACAGAAACAATCCCTAGATTTTCCATTAAACCTCGAAACACTCACTTATACTAATCAAGAGTAGTATTATGCCCACTTCCAAATTCTTTTCTGGGAAAAGTGATCAAAATTTTTTCCGATCAGGGTAAGAAAAAATTATAACCTGTTGATAGCTGATTTGAGCGGCTTCAAACCAAGTTCTTGTTTTCAATAGTTTATCTTTTCTATTTTTTTACCAACATCTCCAACGGTGCTCGTGACCCGACACAATTATTTCCTTTTTTATCCTCTTTCACAATGCCTTCTTCTTTGTAAAAGTTTTCTGTTTTGGAAAAAAGTAGTGGAAAGTTCTTTTGTAGAACAAAAATTATACAGCTCGATGAAGTTCGCTTTTTAAGTTTTTTAAATGCATTTCCGGTAAATTTTGGTATATTTTTTTGACCTCAGATATTGAAAAAAAAACATCAAGCTAAACAAGGGGCAACTGCAAAGGAGCCGTCCTGCAAAACTTTGGTGCAATAATTCTGATATTTTTTTGGTTCGTTGTCTACTTTAATAATTCAAATAACAAAAAAAGTAGTTGCAAAGAAACTGAAAAAAAAACTCAAAATCTAAAAGAGCACTTCCACATATAAAAAACTGTCTTATGTTTTTGCGCGCCTTTATAAGTAATGAAAGTAATATACATAAACAACTCGAAGTCAAAAACACGGCTGAGGACAAATTCTGCGGAACTAGAATTAGCGAGTTGTTTGTATGGTTGATCCTAAAAGCAATTTTCATCTTTGATCTGGTTTTTGATGTACGAAATTTAGCTGAAACGGTTGGCAATTTAGGATGGAATTGTCGAAAAAAAACTTTTATACAAAATTGTTGATCCAGCACTTTTTGCGCCATCACAATCTCGTTTGAACTAAGCAGCTATTTCGAGTGAGTTGTCATTTACGTGGCGTTTCCTTTTACGATATCTTGTTAGAAACATGTTGCTAGTATGATTGGATCTGCTGTTAAATTTTGTTTTTCCCGTTATCTTCTTCATTACGCTGTCTCCAAAGGTTTACTCTAAATTCGAATATGGGACAGTAACATTCTACCTTCCGCTTTCTGAAGCGGAAGTAACTCACAGTTGATTTGATTCTGTTTGGGTGCACCCCGGGTTGAGGTGCTCGATTTATGTCTTGACTTTCTAGCCCAAAACTCATTATGTTTCGACTTTCTCGACCAAACTTCGGTATGCTTCGATTTTCTCGACCCAACAAAAAAGTGTTGGATATGTTTCGACTTTCTCGACCATAATTCGATATGTTTTGACTTTCTCGACCGACAAATTTTAAAAAATTGAAAATTACTATAGTTATCATATCTACTCATAGTGAGGGCTTAAATTTAACTGTTTAATTTTTACAAAGAGAATCAGTACACATACGATTGTCAGTGACGCCGCTTGAAAAGAATCTGAGCTGGATCAACAAACTTTTTTGGAAACTTTTTGTTGGTCGAGAAACTCGAGAAAGCCGAAACATACCAATTAGGTGAAGAAAGTCGAAACTTATCTATGCGAGGTCGATAAAAACTTGATTTTGTGATCCCGCATGGATATGTTTCCATTTTCCTGACCGACATTTTTTTTTATACTAGACATAACAATGATGCAAGAGCTTCAACGATGTGTGTGCCCATAACACTTTGAAACGTACAGTTATGGCAGTCATGCAATGTTGTCTGACGCTGCGTTAGCTATGAAAAAAATTTTGATATGGACGATTACTTTGATAGTTCGAACTGTGCGTGTAAGATAAATCTAGAAACGGTAAAATTTTTAAAACTATTAATTATTTGTTTTAACTGAATCAATCTAATTCGCAAAATGCCTGGACAAATACCCTATCAACACTCACAAGAAGCATTGCAAATTAAAAGTGAAGATGTTTTAAAATGTAAAAAGAGCCTTCATTTTTTCTCGCTCTGCAGCGTGAGCACTTCAAAGCTTTTGGCTGTAAGTCATGGCTCGTGAGTACTCTACTAGTAATGATGCCAGTTTTTAAAATTTGTCAAAGGACAATGAGCAACTTTTTTTCGTTACAAACAAGTTTGAGACACTGTCGATTGCACTTCCGCCAATCAGTGGTTTCGTATGAGGAGATAATCTTTCGGACACGAACACCACAGAAAAATCTGCTGCCTCTTTGAAAACCAACAGCAAGCTTCATGCTCACTGAGTTGAGTCCAAAAACACATAATTTTTGCACGAGAGGAAAAAAACCTTTTTTTTCTGAACTCTAGCATGTAGTTGATTTTTCGCTCAAAAAATTCGAACAAAAATTTTTTTGCGTTATCGGCTGTAAAAAGTGCAATACAAATACTGTTGTTACTTGATCGGACAACTACCTGTTTAATAAATTGGTTTTCATAGTTTGCGGCTTAGTCTACTTCTCTATTTTGTTACATCTCAATCAGAAGAAATTCTGAGAAGCGATGGTGCTTCTTCTTCACCTGTATGACTTTGGGGCTGTAAAATATGTGTGCGGTTCCAGTGGCAGTTTAGTTGTATAGCGGCACAACATTTGTGAGAGCAGCGCAAATAATGTAGATTTTACAGGCGGGACAAGTGCTTTATCTAGGCGGGATAGCATATCTTTAGTAACTTATCCTAAGTTATAAGTCTAATCGTCAAATGTATTGACAAAAGTTATAGTAGAAACAACAGTAAGAAAAGAGTATGAGTTTATATAATGGATAGTTAAAAAAATTGATTTACAAAATTAATTAAAAACTGCTTTTAGTACCAATAAAGATGGGGTCAATACCTAGTTTTTTTACATATAAACTAACACTTCATTTGCATGTAGTCCGCGTCTAGATTGCTAATCGTTTTTTTCACCGATTGTCTCTCAGAAAATTGGGTCATCGTTTTTTCTAGATCCTTGTTGCTGCTTTGATTTTTCCGGTACTTATAAAAGTTCTAAGATCTTATGTTAATAAATTCATTTAAAAAAATAAAGAAACCAAAGAAAGAAATAAAATGATTTATGTCCGTGTAGTATTTGCAAAACTACAAGATATTGTTTCAGTCTTAGAAGTTAATAGCACCCGTAGAAATCCAAAGTTCAGAACTAATGCAGTTTGAATCCGTTGGCGTATCAAATACTCAGCAAACTAATAAGTGCAGTAGCAGATAGAAATTTAAAATTGAAACAAGCTATTCAGTCTTGATTGCAGACAATCGCAGCTTATAGTGCTAATAATGTTTGACTGGTATAACAAAAGTAAAAATCTAAGAGACGGCATAGATTGGTTCACCTTTTTCGGGCAACTAACACCGATTCGGATAACTAACACCGCTGACCATGACTCGGTTTGCAATCCTTCGGGGGCTCAAGATGTTGATCCTTAAATTAACTCTCATGGAGCAAAAAAAGACTAATGTGAATTACTTCTACCTTCAAGAACAGAATCATTTCAAATTTTTCAGACTTTTTACAATATAAGTTCAATAAACTTTACTGAGCAGATCAGCGCATAAACAAAAAGAATAAAGAAAAAAGCAAGACCAGATTTGACAGAACGACCATTTTCGATCATTTGTTCATAAAAACATTTGAAAAACCCTTCGCTCTTTTTTGAGAACCACTTCGATCAACAAAAAAGAAAAAGTCAGTGTGAAACATTATGCGAACGCAATTCGGATCCATTGGCATTGCGAATACTCGCCAAATCAATCAGTACAATAGATGGTATGCTGATAGCAAATTAAACTTGAAAAATGCTATTTAGTCTTGATTTTAGCGAAACGTAGCTTATGGTGCTGTTTAAGTTTGGCAAGCTTAACACCCTTACTTACCTTAGAGAGTTTTCTGACCCGCATCAGGAAAATGGATTAAGAAACCCCGACCGTTAAACTTGCGCCAGTTTGCGATTCTTCGGGGGCGTAAGATGTTGGTGATGAAACTATGAAGTCAAATCTTCCAATCACTATAGTATCTCTGCAGCCGAAGATTTTGATCATAAGGGCCTTCAAATCACTGATGTTTGTCCACTTAAGACTATTTTGCCATATATTTGTTCAATTTTTGTCTGATGTTGGAGCTCATTTTATACAAATAAAGATCGAATACTTTGATAGTAGCTTTTGTTATATGTGCTGTAGAATCACAGCCCGCTTTCAAATTTAGGAGTAGGCAATGGATTATAGCGGTTTTTTATGATGGTTTTTTGACAATTATAGTTGATTATAGTTACTAAAATTAGATGTTTTAATCATTTATAATCGATTTTAATCGTGATATTTTCCAAGAGATCATAATATAATTTAATCGATTATAATTGACTACAGTTCATGCACAAAACACTTAAAATCAATTATACTTGAATCTAATCGCTTATAATCTCTTATTTTGTCAGAATTTTGTAACACTAAAAGTTCAACTTAAATATATCTCATGGGTTACTGTTTTTATGTCAAAATCAAAATCTCTATAAGCGAGATGTCTTGTAACACTTTGGTTCATTTGAACACAAAATTTTACTACGAAACAAAAATTTTATAGAGATATTTCGTATTAGCTGAAAGGTTCCTGCGGTATGTCAAAAATAACTCTTCCGAGTAAATCATGAAATTAACGCAATGTGCTGATATTTTGGTGGTTAAAAAAACTTAAGAAAATTTTAAATTGTAATTGATTATAATCCATTAGAATTGTAATCAAAAATAGATGGCTCACTAATCGATAATCCTCGATTAAAATGTATTATAACTGATTATAATTGCATTTCAAAAAGAGAGATTATAATCGATTATTAATTGATTAATATCATTTTTTTTCTCAATTATAGTAAGACTGGTACTAAAATCATAATTTAATCGATTATTAACGCTTGAAACTGGATGTGGTTGATAATTCAAATTTTTTAAACGTTTAATCTTGAGTTATAGAAAAGGAGATCCAATGTGATTTGTTTTCACCCTAAATTACAGAATCATTTCAAAATTTTAGACAGTTTGAGATACATTTGCTATAAACTATACCAATCAGAGCAGCGCAAAAATACATTGACCTACGAATAAAAATCAGTTCTTGATTATCTGAATTACAAGAGCATCAAATGAACTTCTAAAATTGAACTTCTAAGTTTCTAAAATTGAATTTCAAATCCAATGTTGTTAATCGAAGACTGTTTAATCGAAGACTGTTTAGTCGAAGACTGTTTAATCGTATACTGTAGTCTCTTTATCACAAATTCACCACTCAAGTATAGAAACATATATCCGAAAGTTGAACCATGCATCCGAAAGTTGAAAACTCTATTCAAAAGTTCGCCAAGCTGCCACAACATAAAAGTAGATGCGACGCTACACACCAATGTATTTTTTTGTGCATTTCCAAGAATGAGGCTATCGTTACGAGCGTTAATCACCGGCCGATTTAAGTTTAAATAATATAAAAAGCAAGCAATGGGACTACTTTATTGACTTGTATTGCAGTAAGGACTATCGTCTGTTGTGATCAGTTACTGGGTTCAAACGGTAATTCTTACCGGGCGTGAAATTCTTGTTTGTGGTAGCCAGGATAAAAGTTTCTGTTCTTTTATCAATCAAAGTTGCGTTGAACGTGTGCAGGTTATTTGTGTCATCCAATTGACCAAGAGTAATGTTGCAGTCATGCTCTAGATGTCCTTGACACGAGATCGAATCAAACATAATGTAGCCTGTTTCCACAGAGACTCCTGAGGATGAGAATACCTACAGAGGAATGAAATATTTCGACATCACAATTTGAAATGAAAACGAATTGACTGCACGCTTCAAAATTTTGATGAAAAATTGGTGGCAGGTCAGAAAGCTTCATGATATGGTGTGTTTTTTGATTATCTGCCGAAAAATAAAACTTACTAATGAGTTTTCCTCGAAGCCACTACCCACACGAGATGAGATAAGATTTTAAGTGTAGTTTTGTTCAGGGGCGGATTTAGGGGGTGGCGAACGCCTTCCCCCCTCAGGGATCCGCCCGGGTCGAGATCCCGCTCAAAAACCGCTCAAGATATGAGCGGTTTGAGCGGTTTTTCAGCAAGATTTGAGCGGTTTGGGCGGTTTGGGCGGTTTTTTTGGAAAAACCGCTCAAACCGCTCAAATCTTGCATAAAAAAACGTTCAAAAACCACTAATTTCTTGCGGTGATTTTTGAACGTTTTTTCAAGCAAGATTTGAGCGGTTTTAGAGCGGTTTTTGAGCGGTCTTATAAAGAAAACCGATTAAAACCAACAAAAAGGCCTGGAAAGGTAATGTGACCCCGGGTTGACATCCCTGAACCGAAAATGCTTATTTTAAATTTCCCCACACCGAAAAAGCTTATCATACAATTGCCTGCATCAAATGTATGGAAAAATGCTAATCATACAATTTTCATACAATTTCAAAAAACTATTGAAAAAAGATTCAATCTAGTTTCTCCGGCTATTTGAACCAAATACAACAGTCTGGTGATAAAAAATAACTACGTTTATTTTTTTTTTGAAAAAAATGGTTATCATACAATTTCCATATATGAAAATTGTATGATAACCATTTTTTCATGAAAGGCAAGATTTTCAGAAATTGTTCAAACAAGTTTATAAACAAATTTAAATTATTTAAGAGTGCTTTTGCTCTTGCGCGGTTTTTGAGCGGTTTTTTTAGATAAAACCGTTCAAAAACCGCTCAAACCGCTCATTTTGAAGCAAGATTTTGAGCGTAATTGTCTAAAAAAACCGCTCAAACCGCTCAAATCTTGCTTCAAATTAGGTGAAAAATCTCGACTCGGGCGACCACCTGCAGACCCAAAGGGTCCACCCTTTGCACTATTTAGAGATATCAATTTTTGGAGATGGACCCTAAAACTTTTCGAAGAGCGCCTTTGACGCCAATATATACTAATTTTGAGGGGGGAGCGCGCACCGAAAAAACGCGATTCTTTGCTCAAACGTTTTCAAAAAGTGCCTAAAAACGCTTTTTGGCCTGTTTTTTTTCTTCAAAAGTTTGCTTGTGGAGCAGAAAGTTTGGTCAAACCAGGGTCTTTTTTTGCTTTAAGAGAGCTCCGAAAATTAATTGGTCGACCCAAAAAAAGGGTCAAAAAAATTTTTGAAAATAATTTTTTAGACAATCCGCCACCCCCTGCCTCGAGAAAATCCTATATCCGCCCCTGGCTTTGTTACTTACTTGATATGAAATCATGCATAGACGCGAGGGGACAAGACGAAAGATATTCAGAAAGACTTCACATTCATTCGGTATACATCTCACTTCCACGTCCATTGAGATGTAAACTGTAACAAACGAAAAAGTAATCCGATTGAAACCAAAAGCTCAAATTTTTGTCATAATGGAACCACTTCTAAACTAGTATTTAAAAATGGACTTGAATATAATTCGCTATCTTTATAAAATATTACTACAAACCAATCATATTCCATCTCTAACATTCACACTTATTTGTAAGTGCTGAAACTACTTGTAGTTTAAGCACTAGAAAAATTTGAATAAATTCTAGATTACAGTTGTTCTCCTTCTGGGTAAAACTCCAAGAACTAATATGCAAAAATCAGTATACACTAGATCTATTGAGACTAGGAGACATAAGAGTAAGATTAAGATTTGGTGTTAGACTAAGAAGTTGCACGAGTCTATCCGGCCGAAAATAAGATAGCGCAACGAACAGACGGTGTACCTCATCTGAAATTACTCTATGAGTATAAACAAAAGGTCATAACTCATCTGGTAAAAGGTCATAATTACAAAATCGCAAAAAGTTTAAATGGAATAGAGCATTTAATAGAAATGTTTTACGACTCGATAGATGTAAGCCAAGTTTCCGAACAATACGAGAATTACCAGGTTTTGCAAGAACACCAGGAACAAGGCGTGAACAAAGATTAGGAAGAAACCGACCAATCCACCATATGCTAGTAAAACGAAAACCATATGCTAGTAATAAATCCGCCACCCCTCTGCCTAGATCCGCCCCTGGCTTTGTTACTTATTTGATATAAAATTTTGCATAGATGCGAGGGGACAAGTCGGGAAATATTCAGACAGACTTCACATTCATTCAATAAACATGTCACTTCCACGTCCAATGATATGTAAACTGTAAGAAACAAAAAAATAATCTGATTGAAACCAAAAGCTCAAACTTTTCTCATAATGGAACCAGTTCTAAACTAGTATTTATAAATGGACTTGAATATAATTCGCTATCTTTATAAAATATTACTACAAACCAATCATATTCCATCTCTAACATTGACACTTATTTGTAAGTGCTGAAACTACTTGTAGTTTCAGCACCAGAACAAATTGAATAAATCCTAGACTACAGTTGTTCTCCTTTGGGTGAAACTCCAAAAACTAATACGCAAAAATCAGGATACACTAGATCTATTGAGACTAGGATATATAAGAGTAAGATTCAGATTAGTATTAGACTAACAAGTTGCACGAATCTATCCGGCCGAAAATAAGATAGCGCGACAAACAGACGGTGTACCTTATCTGAAATTACTCTATGAGTATAAACAAAAGGTCATAACTCATCTGGTGCAACCATAAGTCTCGAAAAAGACCTTAACTAACCTAAAATTAGACAATTAAAAATAGTATTGGGCAATTACAAAATCGTAAAAATGTTAGATGGAATAGAGAAATTAATAAAAATGTTTCTTCGACTCAATAGATCTACGCCAACTTTCCGAACAATACAAGAATTACCAGGTTTTGCAAGAACACCAGGAACAAGGCGTGAACAAAGATTAGGAAGAAACCGACCAATCCACCATATGCTAGTAAAACGAACACCGGAAGAAGACGATTTTATATTTAGAATCCTTTACGCAGTAAATTTAGACTTTCATTTTTGACATAAAAACGAACCGAACAAAATATCTTCAATTTAATTGGTGCTGAACTTAATTTGTCAACAATAACGACTAAAAAGAACACATGTCGTTCCCCCAAAATCTGCAGTAAATCAAAACTTTTGAACAAAAATATTTATTGAACAAAAAATACAGAAATTAGTTTGTATAAAAACTTATTATTAGTTTCACTAGTCTGCACACATCATCTTTTTTTCATTCTAGCTTCATCACCTAAACTATAACAGCATCAACCTAACAATTTAATACCCTAAATTTAAACCTTTCTAGATATAAATTTTATCTAAATTTTATCAAGGCTTATCCTTGTTTTCTCTTAAATCACCTTTGATTAAAAAAACAGATCATCAAGTCTTTCCTAAGATCTTTAAATTCATTTAAGATATTTCCCTTAAATTCTGATCATCAAGGCCTCCCTTGGATCAAATTAGAACAATTTTGTTCTCCACATTATTTGAAGTTTCTAATGACCTAAAACGTCGATCCAATTTCCAACCCTTACAAACGTCCCAGGACTAATAAAAAATTTTGAAAAAACTAGCCATTTTAACTAAGATAGACAGTGAAGAACTTCAGTTACCCATCCTTCACTTGAGCCTCTCCTCTTGGATGACTCAGGATAAAACATTTACTAGGTGATAAAATAGTATCTAACGATCCATCTGTGTTCTAATTATACCTGGACCTTGTGAATTGATTTACTATTCCCCAACCCTTGATCACAAATTACAACCACTAGATAAGATTAATTAACCCATCATATATTAAAACCTAATCACGAGAAAAAAAATCATTCTCACAAATCGATATATTTTCTCTCCAACCCGTTAATTACGACAATATGCCCCAAGTTAAGATAACCACACAAAAATTGTAAGAACTAACAGTTTAAGAAATTAGAAATTCTAACCCCCGAGTGATTGCATTCCTCATCCTAAAACTTATGTCAAGAGATAACTTAGGCAGTAAGCCAGCAATCATATAACATAAAAACGAAAAGGTACGATCTTGTAGTTACACCTCACAAACAAATAATATGAGTTATCAGATCAAAAAGAAAAAAATCTAAGCAGACAATAATAACAAAACTAAACAAACTATCAAACAACAATTTTCAAAAAGGCAAAACGCAGTCTCAGAATCAGATAGAAACACCACAGAGGAACTTCAGGATTTAAATGTTTCGATAAACACAAAAAAGTTGTTACAAAATTTTAAAAAATTTTCTGATTCAGAAGCTACATCACCATCATCAATTAAGAGAAAACGCAGAAAAATAACAAATCATACCTTAATAAATTAGTACGTCTGTATAATTGAAATCAACCAATAAGACATATTGAATGTTACACATTAACAGTCTTGTTATATAAAAATGATCGAAGACAACGAAATTTTCGACGACATTAGTGTACTTCCATTTGTTATAAAACCAGAAAAAGATCCCGCTCAGGGACAAGTACAATTTTGTCACAACTTATTTGTAATTTTATATGAAAAAAGTTACAGCTCATGTAAACAAGAATTCCCCAAAATAAGAAAAAAAAAGACAAACTCTTGACCACTACCTCAAAGAAATATGTATTATAACATCACACTATGGTAATTTTCCACCAAACCACCCTACACGTCAAATACAAACAGATGATATGGATGTAGAATTCTAAAAAATTTTCACAGGAAATATAAAAAATATACCATACCAAAAATCACAAAGAGCAAATTCAAAATTTAAAAGATACGTCTTTTCACTTATTTACAGCTACATATCTATATTGGAATTGAAAGAAACACAAAATGTATCACCGCTTCAAAACATCCCAACAATCAATTGTAAGACATGAAACAAACAATTTCTCAAAACTTTTAGCTACAATCCGTGATAATCTCAAGAATAAGGAAAATTCAAAAAAGTCAAACACGATTTACAAAAAATCTAAGCATGGTTCATAATTGATTATTTTGTCCATAACATCGAAATCACAGCACAATCAAGAAAGAGTTTTCGACCACGAAACTCGGACGACAAAACTGTATTAGCAGATGAAAAAGATTATTTTTGGGACCCTGATTGGTCTCATTCATCATTCATTAACATAACAACTGATATTTCAAGTGCAGCAATTACTACTATCTCCGTAAATAAAAAATATGTTAAAATATTGCAATTATCATTGATAGAACAAGAAAAAAAGTTTAAACTCTACGTTCATTTATACATAAGAAAATTTTAATGTAACATGAACTCCTAAGCAACAATGTGTTCAAACTCCATCACATTTCGTTAATGAAGAAATAATTGAGACAATGCCGACAACAACGCAACGAAGCATTTCTCCCATTCACCCAACAATTAGAACACCACAAAATAAATATACCACATTCCCACAAACAACCTTACAATCAACAGTAAAACCTTCTGCTACCCCGAACCCACAAATGGATTATCAGACATTTATACCAGCAGCGACATCACGACAAACAAGCAAACAAACAGAAAACGACTATTAGAAATAATTTTTAGGATCAAAATTACAACTTTTTTGCAAATAATAACATAGCAAAACCTCCCCATAAAAGCAACCAAAATCAACCACAGGGACAAAACTACAACCAACAGCTACCACAACAAGTTCCACTCACTCAGTTTTTTTCAACGATCAACCTTGAGCTACAGTGGATCATAGCGGGAATTTCCCGTTTTTTCAACAAAATAAAAACAAATAAACATTTTACAAGAAGTCAACCACAATATTCAGAAGATGAAGATTATTTTAGTCAAAATCAAGATGAATTTACTACAAATCGACAAATCAATAACTGAAAAATTGATCAATCAGATCCTATTTATCAACCACATCTTTTTGAACCATACACACGAAATGAACGAACACAACAATCAAAACAAATTTATCCTCCCAGTTAAAATTCTGCTTCATATTTCATTAAAAAATTTCAGTCACAAAAACCAAAGAATACACAAGTTTCTCAACCAACACAATTGCAAAATGCAATACCATGACCACATTATTTACAAAAACATGAAATTACAAAAACACAACTCACAAATTTTTCTCAAAGAACAAATGCCGCAGAATCACTTCAAATGACTATGAATCCATACCTTATGGTAAGATCTTCCATTTCTTCGATTAAACCACTGATGGAATTCACAGGAACAGATCCTGATTACTCAGTAGAAGTTTATTTAAATGCAGTTACAGCTAACTTAAATTTAAAATTATGACCTGTACCAGTAAAAAGCCACTTCATCAAAATTGGTTACATAATTGCACAGCTCTAACCCAAACCACACTTGATGGCGCAGCACAAGCATGGTTTTCAGTTTAACCAATAGAAATAAAATCAGACTGAAAAAGATCCACACAAGA